GTTGGATACACTGACACACGGACAGACGGACACACGGACGATCGGACGGACAGACTCAGGAACTCACGGACGGTCGGGGACATGTATCCTAACATGTATGATCTATGTACTAAATTTGAATGAAAACTGACAAAGCATGTCCAAAATACAACATTTTCAAAAAACAAGATGGCTGCCAGTCGGCCATTTTGAATCGAATCGCTAAACCACTGCATGTGCATATGTCCCACATAAAGTACTAGGCACATGCAAAGAATGAATGGAATTGGTCCAAGGGATTCTGAGATATGACTCCGGACGGACGCACAAACACACGAACGCACGGACGCACGGACGGACGGACGGAGACCGAATTATAAGTCCCCGTTTTCGGACTTCGTCCGAACGGGGACTAAAAAACTGAACAGGAAACATCGAAGCTACAAATGTACCTATGGAATTGACCTACATTTACCTCCCGTGGTATGGGCAGAGCTTAGTTTTTTTTTTTAATTCGACTGATTATTCAAGTACAGCAAACGTTCTCTGTGCACAGATAGTCAGCATGCGCGCTTATTGTTTGTGTGTACACAGTTACTAAAAAAGACCGTGTAACCGTGGTGTGTATAAACTGCGTGAAGTAAAACAAACAAGTAATTTCTGCCGACAAGGCAACTTGTGAGAATCCGAATTCAAGTCAGGTATATTCACAGTTCCGTCTAGATTGACGTGGTCTACGCTGCTGTATTCAGTTTTAGGACCTGACGTCTTTATTAGCGAGCGGACACTCTCCTCAATTCATCGTCCCTCAACACCGTGGTAGGGCCACTCATTACAATCACGTGTGATCTCAGGAACATGATACCGTCCCTTCCCTGCTGATCTGCACTGGCTCGGAAGATGAATTCTGATTGGCTAAAAAAACAAAAGACTTGTGGCGTTGAATGCACGTTCATTCTCAGTAATGTTATGCAAATTAGAAATTCAAACTAGCTAATCATTTACAACCTTCCGAGCCAGTGCAGATTAGCCCTCCCTTCCTGGTGAAACAAACATCTCGTTATCTGGGAAATACGTACAAATTATTTATTTATAACAAAAATAAAATGACGCCCAGGTTTTTATATTTGTGACAATTCAGATTGCAGTGCAGTTTGCCGGTGAAACGTACTGCTGTCTGCAGACTGTACGCCATGTTCAGGGTCGTTTTGTAATTCGAACTATGGATACAATGGTTCTGTGGAACGCTGTGAATTACATCCTGTCACAACGTTTTTTCCTCAAATAATTCACCAAATGAAACATCCTCGCAAGAGAGTTTGACTTTTATTATGTTGTGTCAAATCTCTCCGCTTCATGTTTGGTACAATGTAACAGCAGGGTTGCAAGAATCCACATCTACCATTGGTTGACTATAGGCATACCTTTCTATTTTCCACTGCGGCAATGCTCAACAATATAAATCAGCCTTTTGTTTTATGTGTTACTGTGAACTCTCAATCGAGTGTTTTTGTGGCATTGTGAACTCTCAATCGTCAGTTTTTTTGCCATTGCAAACTCGCAATCGCCTGTTTTTTCGCCATTGCGAATTCGCAGCGACGCTCGCAATGGCTGTTTTACCGAACATTTACATACCTCATACATAGCAGCCTGAGGTAGTCAGTTACCTGCTACATGACTACACCATACATGGCAGCCTGAGGTAGTCAGTTACCTACTACATAACTGCACCATACATGGCAGCCTGAGGTAGTCAGTTACCTACTACATAACTGCACCATACATGGCAGCCTGAGGTAGTCAGTTACCTGCTACATGACTGCACCATTCATGGCAGCCTGAGGTAGTCAGTTACCTGCTACATGACTGCACCATTCACACCAGCCTGAGGTAGTCAGTTACCTACTACATAACTGTACCATTCATGGCAACCTGAGGTAGTCAGGTATCTGCTACATGACTGCACCATTCATGGCAGCCTGAGGTAGTCAGTTACCTGCTACATGACTGCACCATTCAAGGCAGCCTGAGGTAGTCAGTTACCTGCTACATGACTGCACCATTCACACCAGCCTGAGGTAGTCAGTTACCTACTGCATAACTGCACCATTCATGGCAACCTGAGGTAGTCAGGTATCTGCTACATGACTGCACCATTCATGGCAACCTGAGGTAGTCAGGTATCTGCTACATGACTGCACCATTCATGGCAACCTGAGGCAGTCGGGTATCTGCTACATGACTGCACCATTCATGGCAGCCTGAGGTAGTCAGTTACCTGCTACATGACTGCACCATACATGGCAGCCTGAGGTAGTCAGTTACCTGCTACATGACTGCACCATTCATGGCAGCCTGAGGTAGTCAGTTACCTGCTACATGACTGCACTATACATGGTAGCCTGAGGCAGTATTGGCATAGATACAAAGAAGAATGTGCATGACAACCAGCTAACAGTCGTTGTTTGCTAAATAAACTGACATGTACTATGGAATCAGTTAATGTTTTGTTTACTTTACTTTATGACAAGAGTGCATACTTAGCGTATGCAATGCAATCCACATCACGTCATCCAAATGGGAGACATAACTTACCTCTCTGTGTCCAACTGTTAGTCTAGTACATCTAATATTTTTCAAATATGAAATTAAGAACTCTTTACATTTGGCTAATTTCTCTTTATCGTGTCGTACTATTTGGTTAATGTCTGCAAATTCATGTAAAAGTGGCACAGATCTTGTAAAGTTGGAGTTTGCTGGCAGTAGTAATGGAAATAAATTAATTAACTGAAAGAAAAGACAAATTATATTAAATTAAATTATATTATATTATATTATATTCCAGCTGTACTGTCTGAGTGCATACTTTGAGGTATTCTCGTAATAACCTTATTATTATACATCTTTTCCTACCAAGGATACACCATGGGAATGATGAAATTCAAAATGTTTAGAACAGAATCAGCGAACTTCTTTGTGTGGAGTCCGGTCAAACTCTGATGGAAGCCATGTTTGTTTTTATTATTATAGGAAGCTTACGCACGTAATCATTCCATATTTGGAATTTGCATTTCCTTGTATGATAGGATGAAAATACTCTGTAAAATACTGCAAAATTACGGCACGCTGTAACAGTTACAGATGTATAATAATATATTATATTTGGATGTTTACAAATCCTCATCTGTTAATTAGTATGGGCAAAATCACACTGTTATGTTATTGATTCAATCTGCTACGATGTGTGATTTGTAGAACTAGTTTAATGCTTTAACACAGAGGTTCATCGTACAATAACATACAAGATGGCTGATATTCGAACTCCCTAACCTGACCTTAATATTGTACTGATAGAGGGCGCACTATACAAATAGCAATATGTTGTCTATAGCAATAAATAACAATATTTCACACACAAAAGAACTTATTATATTTTTATTTTGTTCTCATAACTAAGAGGCAATTCCTTCAATTACCAAAAATAGAAGGCAAAGACAAAGTCAAGATTTACAATGTTATATTTTACTAGTAAAACATAAAACATTCATTAATGTAGGAAATATTTTGTCTTAGAAACTATACAAAACAAAGATGACACTGCCGTATCATTGTATCAGTGACTGATGTGATTAACAAAAAGATGATCAAGGTTCAAGAAAACAAAACCACATCCAGAAAAAAAAATGTACGATAATAAGTTACTGAAAGAGTTCATGCAGACACCAGCAATACAAGAGCCCAGAGAAATACATGTACCTCCATGTAAGCTAGAAAAACTATTGGCAAATTCATCATCAGTGTTCACAAACCTAACGGCAACAACTA